AATAGAAAAAAAAAAAAAAAATCATCTCAATAGCAAATCTAAGCATAACTAATCACGTTCACAAAGTGCTCGATAAAATGCCAAGCATAAACTACACAAATCAACATCAAACAACAGAGAAAAACTGGAATTTCACGAATTCAGATTATCCAAAGATGATTGATATGAATTATTTAGCGCCCAACAAATTAAAAAAACCTACAAATTACCTCTATCTTGAAATTGGGATCGAATGAAAGAAAATACTTTAATCCAAGAGCTTCAAGCTTGGTAGCTTGAAATAGACCAATGAGCTTCATCAAAGTTTATTTTGAACCCAAAACCCTGGTGAGATTGTCTACGATGACTGCGGGCATGTGGTTCGTTTTTTATATCCACGTGTTGCAAAACAATTGGATGGAAGTGCCTTGCTGCTACTGGATACGTGGAGCATGGGGTTTTCTCGTGCGGTGTGAAGCATAAGATTACGCGCTCTGTCATGGAAATTTGAAATGGCGTGGTAATGGGCTTTGGAAACTTTAACAAGGAATATTACTGGGCTCAAAATGTTCAATAATAGTGAACCTTAGCCCAATAAAAACCATCTAAATGAAACCATTGACTGGGCTCCACTTTAAGACCTACAGTAAAGCCCAGAATAAACATTTTGCAAGTTCCAGGTCCAGATTAGTTCTTGTTCTTTCAAAAAAAATGCCTCGCTTACAAGATACTGACTATATTTTATAACTAACCTACAAATTATTACTTACGTGCGACTCGATTATTATTTTCTCAGGTACGGCTTTGAAAGTGAACATCACGACACTAGGCCCGCTCGTGCTACCATTCAGCGAGCAGCTCTTATTCTTCACAACCCTAATCGCGCGAAAACTAATCAACCAGAAAATCAAGCCGTACTTACCGGATTTCAAGCTAGCTTTCAACCACTTTTGCATACACGCCGGCGGTCGAGCAGTGATTGATGAGTTGGAGAAGAATCTAAAACTCGAGCCAGTCCACGTGGAGGCCTCGAGAATGACTCTCCATAGGTTCGGAAACATTTCGTCAAGCTCGATTTGGTACGAGTTGGCGTACATTGAGGCCAAAAGGAGGGTCAAAAGGGTGGATAAGGTGTGGCAGATTGCGTTCGGAAGTGGGTTTAAGTGCAATAGCGTTGTTTGGATCGCGCTAAGGGACGTTGAGCTGTCGGCTCATAACCCGTGGCTCGATTGCATGGAAAAGTATCCCGTGGAGTTAGCTTATAATAACTAATATATATATACGTACTTATAAATAAGTGTGAATGAGAGACCATATGTTCTTATTATTGTTAATTGTAAATCAATATTCTCAAGTTGTTGGTATTTATTATTACTGGATGTGTGACACAGGTCACAGGATGAAATGTAAGTTAAGTATATAATATAGTTTTCCAGATACTAAATGTATTTGATTATGACTAAATACATATTGTATAATTTTATTATGCAATTATAAAGCGGTTACAGTGCGCCCATCCGTATGAAAAAAAAATAAAAAAATAATAATAATAACAATTTTAGTGCAATAATTTCTGTTGATTCATATCTTTTGTCAACTATTTTTAAAGGGTTGTATTTGTTACAACAATTTTTATTCTTCGTCAATTGCGTCTAATAAAATTTATGGAGTGTGAAGTTCTGTACGTTATTCTAAACAATTTTTATTTTTCGTAAATTGCATCTACTCAAATCGTTGGAATTTCAGTTTTGTATGACCTTTTCAACCCTTATTTTCTAGTATATATATCAAATCAAAACTCTCATCCGATGCATCAAGTCTTTTCAATTTGCATTATTATTAACGAAAATCCAGTTATATATATATATAAATCTTATTTTTTCAAACATTGTTTTCTAATATATATCAAATAAAAAATCTGGTTCGATGTATCAAACAATATTTTCAATCGTCATCAAAGTAGCCAAAAAAAAATATTAAAGTACACTCGAGATTCAATCGTTCAATCTTTTCAAATCTCCATTTCTACAATATTTATTTATAAAGTTTCAAACAGAGCTTTATTATTGCTATGTTTGAGTGTTGGGACTAAGAAGATCTCCTCTCGAGTCAATTATTGTTATGAAATCCTTAGTTTACCGTGACTTAACTCTCAACTCTCAATTGTCAGTTGTTGCTATTAATGTATATTAAGCATGTTTTGGGTGGATAATTATCTAATTTAAAATTATTTATATGTCGAGTACTGATATTGCAACTCATCATTCATTATCATATCCATTATAATAACGAGTCAACGACTCATTCATTTAGTAAATTTAATTGATATACACTACTCCACATAATTGTTTATTGTCTACAATTTTGGAGGTTGACCGAAACTCGTATGTTAATTAAAATTTTTTATGCTATTAAAGTATTGTACACATGTTGTACGAGGATGATATATTATATACCAAGTCAACTCAAGACTCATTATTTCCAGTCCTGCGCTTCATAAATGGTGTACCTGCCGCTTTGACACTGGTACCTACACCTTGGACCCAGCCAGGCCACCTTGTAGCTCAACAACTCATTTTTCTCGATCATATAAGCATTCATAAAGGTGAATCTTAAAGGTTATAAACTAGTTTGTGGACCATATGTAAACGAGTGAAGCTGAATTCAAGCTCCTAATAATATATACTCGATTTTGAACTTGAGTTTTTATTAATCCGAGCCGAGTCGACTCGACTCGTCAACTAAATGAGTCAACAAACGAGATCGAGTTTGACTCGTTTATTGCATCTCAAGCCTTAATTAATTGAGTTGAGCTATAAAAAATTACATAAAAATTCTATTTTTTTAGCCTTAACGAGCATCTGCTCGGTTCAACTCGTTAAGAAAACAAATCGAGTTTGAGTCTCAACAATCCAAACTCATGAGGATGAAGTTTGAAATGAGGATGAGGGTTTCGTAAGAATTGTGTTAGTAGGAGGAAAAATGAATTTAGAAAAACAACATAAATTGTTGAATGTTATAAATGAATGAAAGTACGGACACATATACAAATATATTGTTATCACGTACATATACTATATATATAACGAGATTATATGCAAAATGAAATATAAAAGTAGATTAAGATTTATGATTGCGGACAACAACTTATACATATTGTCGGAATATCACTTGTAATTTGTAACATATTGAATATATAGAAATTTAGTCTATAGCTTATAAGTTATAAGTTTAGTGGGTCACTTCTTCCATCACCAGACTCGTTCCCGAATCTATAATTAACTTAAATTGATGATTTTTGCTTTAGCCCAATAAATAATCTTCCATCTGCCAGTATTTCCTACTCTTTGAACCTTTGTAGGCAGTGGCCCAATATCCAGGTCCAATCTATGCTTGTTCAGTTGATGGGATGGGCCAATTACGAGTGATGGATCTCTTCTTGGATAGCCTATGAAGTCAACTAAAACACACACACACACACACACACAAAAAAAATGTATACGTCTAATAAAATTTAAAAAAAAAAAAATAACGAAATAAGTTTTTTTCCCCGGAAATCGAACAATTGAGAGTAAAGCAACAAAAGAAAATCAATGCGTTGATTCTAAAAAATAAAGATTTCCCATTGTGAGAAGGACCACTAGCCAATATATTAGACATTATTGGCATGCACAACAACAGTAGTATCTTCCAGATCACACTGATCTCTTCAACAGTTACGCATAACGTAAATAGAGAAACTAATATAGATAAGTTTTTTATTATTTTTTATTGAGCGCAAATCTATATATATATAATTGCTAGCTAAGCAATAAATTTTACCTAATAAATAAAACCTAATAAATTTTACCTATGTGGCAAATCATTAATAAAGCCTAATAAATAGAACCTAATAAATTTTATTTATGTGGCATTAATACACCCAATCTCATTAATAAGAAAATATTTCATTACATTTTTTTTGAGTTAATTAAGACAAAATCATTATATTTTATGTTAATCGATTAATAATTATATTTTTTATTGAATAATATAATAGTTAATATTAAAATTAGTAATTATATTTTATACTAAATAATATATGAGAGTTACATAAAATTATATTTTACACTAAAATCAATATTTTTTTATATGATGAAGCGGTTGTTTATTAATAAATTAATTTTTTTTATGTCATAGTAAAATTTCTTAAAATCACATAAGCAATTGTTATAATAAATGTAATATTTTTCAGCTAATTAATTGATCATGATCACTCAAAATTATAAAAATTATATATTTATTACATTTTATGCAATCAATATAGTGATTCGTATACAATCAAATCGTGTGTACTATTTATTTTAACCAATGATCAAATTTTAAAATATAATACTATTATATAATTTATAATTTTAATATTATATACATAAATATAACTTATAATACTATATGTTTGAAATATAATACAATTATATAACTTATAATTTTTATATTATATACATAAATGTAATTTATAATATTTAACTTTTATTTACATCTGTGCAAATGCACAGAGTCGAATACTAGTTATTGTAACTTGTAAGATATAATTAAGAAAATGAGACCTTGATTCTCTTTAAGTCTACTATATAGTCTATTTGCACGATAATGATATTGTCTATTTTTATTTGCATTTTTTTTTCTTGTCACGTGACTTTGTTTCATTTATATACTATGTAAGTAAAATTTAATCCAAAGTATGCTCGATGTTTTAATAATTATATATAAACTGATTTTGTTTATGTTTATTATCAATTAAATAAAATGATCAGTACAATTCAATATTGGCATTTCATGGCATTGTCTTTCGGAGTATCCACTTTTGGATTAACTGCTCTCAAAATTGAAATTGAAAAAACTAAATGAATAAATAAATAAAGATCCAAAACTCAAATTCCAATGATCTGAACCAAAATAAACAAAACCCAATAATCTTTTCATCCTTTCTTGAAGTTTCTTGGCTGTTTTCTTACAATCCCAAGTAAAAACAGTACTAATTAGGTGTAAAAAACAAACAAAAGCCTGTCTGAAATTATCAGGCATCTGCTCAGGGGTTAGCTGGGATTCATCGCAAGTAAAAGATCCGATAGATTTCATGTCCATTTAAGCTTTAAAAAAACTTTATATATAAACAGAAATAAATATGAAATTTGATAATATAAGTATTTATTTCAGCTTGCAGAATATAACAGTTTGACCCGCTTAATTGTTAGACTGATTCACTCAAGAATTTGTGCAAATGTTTTTTATCGTTGGATAAAAATGTACGATTGTCGATCCAACGGTGTACGATGGAATCTTTCTATATTTCACCAAGCATTTATCTGAAAATATTTTATTTTTCTTTTTTCTTTTTAAATTAATTTATTTACTTTACTGAACAGTGAAAATTATAGTAAAAAGGTGAAAAGGCGGAGAGCCCGAGTAATAGTAGGGTCTGGTAACAGGGCTGTAACTTGTAAGGGATAACTGGGTGTCACAGTCTTT